TCCCCCCCCCCCCCACCATCCCTCCCGTCATTCATATCTGATTCACCATGATCACCTTTAGTCCTTTATCCCCGACATGAAATTTCCAGTATCAATTAACTGTTAAAAACTACCTAACACTACAAAGTCATGCAGATAAAGCATAATTAAGACCAGATGACCTTTATGATAAAAACCTTCTAAGAAAAAATAAGAACACATACCATTTTTGGTTCCAAGACTAACAGGCGGCATACATTTTTGGTCCATGACTTTCATTTTTTCCCTTTTAGGCATGGCTAAAGATTTTTTCACCACTTTGGGTTCTCTCGGATCACTTATCTAGATAAAATCAGTGAAGTAGTTGAAATTTGCAAGATAAGTGATCATAAGGACCAAAAGTAACAAGAAAATCATTGTTTTGAACCAAAAGTGAAAAAACAGAAGTTGGGGACCAAAAGTGAGAGTCCTCCAATAGTTCTGGGGGTAAATCTTTTCCACTTACTAAAAATATCTTGAGATGACAAAGAATTGAGATAGAGAAGCCATAGCCTATAGTCATATACTATTGCACAAATGATACAAATTCAATAATTTTATCATTCGTATGACAGTACATTTGTTTATTCGCTGTTTTAACCTTTTCATTCCCACATATCTGTCTCTGATGCAACATATGCGAGATAAAATAACTAAGAAATCTGAGTCAATGATTTTAATATGACAACAAGAAGCATCTCTATACAGACCTGGGTTTCAGGACTCATTTGATCAACGAGGAGTTCTGATATGAAAATTCTTGGCAAGGGCCCACCAACACAAGTTCCGCTCTCGAACTGCAATGACTTAGGTGGGGAGAACCAAAAAGCTTTCAACTTCTTTGCAGGGAACCTCAGCTCTTCCCGTCTCACGTAACCGAAGTCCAAGAAGAATTTAGCCACGGAATCAATTCCATGCCCATTTACCTGTATATTATTTGAAAACAAACCTGAATGTTCTTCATCATAATTGCCAACTGATGATTTAATGTAATATCTAGTAAGAGGAAAAAGCCCCATCTAGTAAGTACCTAATTGATCCTGTTATAGTATCTCTCATTGTAAAATTTACCCATTTAAGGGTTGGATTTACTAGCATTATTGCTTAAGTAGCTCACTCTTATAAGTTGTATGGTTCTAGGGATTATTTAAATTTAAATGTGAAATGGGAATGATAGCTTTTGAGAGTGTGATATGCAAAAAAAACGGTCGAGGGTAGAGCTAACAATATAAAGATATTACATGCATCTCACAAACAATGTGTCAAATTAAAATTCTAAGAAAAAGAAAATAATGAAATGGTATTCAAGGAGAGACTCAAACCAATTCTATTTTGAGGAACTTAAGTAGAACCATTACCCCGAAAGTCCTGAATGCAAAATGGTCATAGCAAATCTGACCTCCAACGACGGCTCGGACGAGCTCCAGGATGGCCTTAGCAGTAGGGTTTCTGTTCAGATAAACTTCTTCCATTCTACCCAAAACGCGCCTGAAGAAGGACTCACTTCCCTATGTACTCGCAATAAATAGTACACAGTCAATAAGCATCCAATAACTTCCCCAATTTCACAAGCACAAACACGAGAACTCATAAATTAGTCAACAGATTTCAGTAGAAATTAAAGAGCATGTGTTATAATGGACACCTGAAAGGTAGAATCTACGGAGCCATTTCCGCGACGGGTTGAGGAAGCAGAGAGACTGGAGAAGCGATTGGCGGCTCGATTGGAAACGGGAGCTTCCATGCGAGGAGGAGGAGCTTTGGAGGAGATTAGGGTATTGGGGAGCTGACAGAGGAGAGGTTTAGGAGGAAAGTTTGGGGGTTTGAGGAAAGAAGATGAAGAAGATGAATGCAAAGAAAGCAAAGGGGAATGGGTTCTGATCATTCTTCTTCCTGTGCAATGATTTTTGGTCGAACCTGGAAACAGTTTCCTTTCAAATTTCAACTTTCAAGGATACAAGAGATATACCAGAAAGTAATGTGACCGTATTCTCCTTTGATCTTGAGAAAAAAATTATTTTGGTGTCACTCGAGTTTGGTTAGAATTTGTAGGTTCTTCCATTTTAAAAAAAAATCAAGAGCTCTTATATTTTGTCCTAAAGACTGAATCGGGTCTCATAACATTTGGTTAGATTCGCTTCAAGCCGTTTCAAGTGTTTGGGTTTAATTCAATTCTTCAGTTTTCGAGTTATTTTGGATTCGATTCCAAATTATTCGGTTGGGATTATTTGGTCCGTGTCAATTTTGGCAGTATAAGTAACTCACCAATAATGTGATTTATTTATGCATGATAAGTGATCATTTCAAAGTATGAAAAACTAAAAACTTTATAAAATAGATGTCTAAATTTAAATTAAAATATAGGATTACATCTACAATCAACATTCTGTGATCTATGAAAAAAAGTTCCTTTCATCCTAATATATTTATCCAAATAATAAATTATATAAATTTTGATTATCAATTAAAAATATTACATTTATATTAATAAAACAAATTTATTGTTTAAAAATATTTCACAAGACATCTAATTAAATTATTTTGTACTAATATGTAATATGATTTTATTTAATTGATGACTCTAGAAATTCAAACTCACTACAAATACACTGTGACGAAGATAACATGTCATACAATAATGTACTACGTACCTCTGTTTGCAAACACAATTTTTATTTTGACGTTTGACAGATTTACTCTGGTAATTTGACTTTCCAATTATATCATTAGTGTCGGGAAAAACAGAGACAACTTACTAATTAAATAATTTGTTATATCAATGCAAAATGAATTAAAATAGATTGTAATGACTTTATTTGGATATATTAGTCATTTTATTCAAAAGTGGAAATGTTTTCTCAAAAATAAAATATATTAAAAAGGAAGTATTTTAAAAAAACAAAAACAATATACTTGAGTTAGTGTTAAAAAACATGTACTTAATAGATGGTCATATTTACAAAGCTTAACTAATCAAAAACTCAAATTAAATTATACGGAGTATATAATATAATTCATAATAATTAGGAATATGCATGGCATGTTGGGTGACACCCTACCATTCAATTGAAAAAATGGTGGCTAAAAATTGTTAATGTACTTGAGGTAGTGTTAAAAACATGCATGTACTTAATAGATGGTCATATTTACAAAGCTTAACTAATCAAAAACACAAATTAAATTATACGGAGTATATAATATAATGCATAATAATTAGGAATATGGCATGTTGGGTGACACCATTCAATTGAAAAAATGGTGGCTAAAAATTGTTACTGCTTTAATTTGCTAGCTATCACCCGTTAATTACTCATTAATTATTGACCCTCCACCTTTCCCGCCATAACATTTCATCCCATCCTCAAAAAATGTTTTGTGGCATTAGTTAATCCCCTTTCCTAATCACCATCCACCCCTATGTATATATATGTCCAATTAACCTCTTTGGTTGAGTTTCCTAATGTTTGGAAGCTCATTTGGGCTTTCCCAACAGATATATATACACATTCAATATATGTGTATATATATCTTTAATAATTAATTTGTTCATAGTTCCCATTAATAATTTTATTATTAATAACTAACCTTAATTGCTGCCTTCCCGGCCGACATGGGGGCGGCATTGTTGAGGCAGCAAATATGGTTATTGGTCGTTCTTGCGGCGGGCATTGCTATCGTGCACGCTGATATAGCGGAGTACGATGAGTTCTTGAAGAAGAGAGCAGAAGAAGCCTTCCATTCCTCCCTCCAAGCTTACAATGCCAACCCCAAACAAGTCGTTGATTATTTCAATGCTGAAGTTGGAGAGTAAGGCTCTTAATTAGATATGATTTAAAAAATTTAAGGTCTAATTTGATCTAATTATGATAAGAATAAAAAATAGATATAAAAGTTGTGCTTGTTTTCCACACAATTGATGATTTTGTTTCTTTAAAAAAAATAAAAGATCTCATGTCGATCTACTAAAAATATGAAAATGCTAACATTTTACACGAATGACAATTGTCTCTAAATTCAGTTACATATACTATCTCCGATGCGGAGTGTTTATCTATATTTGACTTTTTGGTGTCAAAATTAATAGACTTTGACCATAAATTAAATAAAATGGATAATAGATATTGATACAAAAATAATTTATTAGATTTATCTTGTTAAATATTTTCAAGATATAATTTTATTTGATTCATAAACCATATAATTTTTATTTAATTATAAATGAGATTGAAATCAACTCCTTCTATTTTAAAATTTGTTAATTAGTCTTTGTTTTGTTTATAAAATGTTATAGATGCTATATAAAATACTTGTATTGTCAAATCTAGTGTCATCGTAGATTCCTTTGACGCCACAAATGACAATTATCTCTAAATTCATTTACATATACTACCTTCGTCCGGAGTGCTTACCCATATTTGACCTTTTACAGTTAAAATTAACAAATTTTAACCATAAATTAAATAAAATGGATAATGGATGTTGATACGAAAATAATTTCATTAAATTTATCTTGTTAAATATTTTAAAGATATAGTTTTATTTGATTCATAACCCATATAATTTTTATTTAATTATAAGTCAGATTGAAATTTACAAGTACTCAAAAGTAGACCAACACAATACTACGGAGTACATTATTGCAACATTGTCATGCCTATATTCCTACATGGTTTGCAGCACATTAAAGAATTTGACTATCGCCAAAAGAAGGAACCTCAAGGAAGGTGGCAGCAGCTGCCAGGCGACAAATCCCATAGACCGTTGCTGGAGGTGCGACCCAAACTGGGCTATGAACAGGAAGCGGCTAGCCGACTGCGCCCGCGGCTTCGGTCGCGGTACGACGGGGGGCAAAGGCGGTCGGATATATGTCGTCACGGACGCGTCGGACGGGGACGTGGAAGACCCGAAGCCCGGAACTCTCCGGCACGCGGTGATTCAGGAGGAGCCATTGTGGATCGTCTTCGCAAAATCGATGGTCATCACACTCAAGCAGGAGTTGATGATAAACCATAACAAGACGATCGACGGGCGGGGCGCGTCGGTGCACATTGCTTACGGGGCGGGGCTCACCATCCAGTTTGTGCAAAATGTGATCATCCACAACATCAGGATCCATCACATTTTGCCCAAGATGGGCGGGATGATCAGAGACTCGACGTCTCATATCGGTCTCAGAACGATGAGCGATGGAGATGCCATCTCCATCTTTGGGTCAAGCCATATATGGATCGACCACGTGAGTATGGCCAGAGCCAGTGATGGCCTCATCGACGCCATCATGGGCTCCACTGCCATCACCATCTCCAATTGCAAATTCAATAAGCACAACGACGTACGTATATTAAACCTAACCTATTAGTTTGTCTAGAGACTCTAGACCAAAAATTTGTAACCTAAACCCACCTCGGGTGTTCGGGACCATTAGAGGACGAAACTTAATTCCCGAAAACCCCTCAACACCAGCCAGACAGTTAGTGATAGTCTTATAGTAGGACTAAAATATTAAAAATATACACTTCCATGTTTTTATTCCCGAAATATGACTTACATTAGCAAAAAAGTATAGTAAGGTGCACATATATAGTGCCACATTACCACTGTGCAAAGTTCTATTTCGAAAAAAAACATGAAAGTCCTATTTTGATACTTTTCTCAATGTTTTAGTTCTATTTAAGGTGATTTCTACTTATAGTAACTTCGTTCTTTTTTACAGGTGATGCTGTTGGGGGCGAGCGATGCATTCTCGGAGGACGCCATAATGCAAGTGACGGTTGCGTTCAACCGATTCGGGAGGGGGTTGATCCAGAGGATGCCGAGGTGTCGGTGGGGGTTCTTCCACGTCGTCAACAACGACTACGCTCAATGGGAGATGTACGCCATCGGTGGAAGCTCGAGCCCCACCATCGTTAGCCAGGGCAACCGCTTCAAGGCGTCTAACAATCCGTTCACTAAGGAGGTGACGAAAAGAGATTATGCTCCCGAGAGTGTGTGGAGTAATTGGCAATGGAGATCGGAGGGGGATTTGTTCTTGAACGGTGCTTACTTTGTGGAGTCAGGGGAGGAGCTGAAGGTGACCCCGTTGACGCAGAGCAGCAAAATCAAGTACAAGCCCGGCTCTTATGTTGGGCGGCTCACGCGTAAGGCCGGTACCCTAAGGTGCAAGGTCGGACGTCCTTGCTAAACTAGCCCCCCCCCACCCCAACACTCGGGCTCATCCCTTTGGCAACAAGAATTGTGATTAGCGTTTGAGTTTTGGATAATTTTCTAACGAAATTCGTTTTTAAGTTTAAAAAACTAATTTCAATTCGAGAATGTTTAAGGTATTGTAGTTGCACAAATTGAGATCGTTGTATTACTGAAAAGCATCGAAAATATATATTCACACATGTATAGAAAGCCTAACTATGAGCGGTTAATGTTGGAGTTCCCCCAAAAATATTGAAGAGTATCCGTAGGGGTTCCCATATCGGAAAATAAAGATGAATGCTACTACTCCTACTAGTATATAGAAGGGTGAAACACTACTTATAAGTTTAAGGTTTTGAATTAGTATAGTGCATCCCGAGTTTATATGTAAGTGGCTAATTTTACCCGATACTCTACCCATAGTTCTCGATCCGCAATAATTTTAACTATACCACTAGCATATACAGAAGAGTGACACTCTACCTATTAGTTCAAGTTTTTGGGTTAGAATACTTGATCCCAACTTTATATGCAAGCATTGATAGTCAATTTGGATGATAAAAAATCAATACTAAGTCTAGACAAAGCTTTGATGTCAAGTGCTCTAAAAGCTCATGTAACCAATGAACCTCAAAACATGCATTTGCCACGATAAAATATTCTGCTTCAAAATTGTAGTCTGCTTTTTAATCTTTCATGAGATGTTGAATCTAAATTACCAAAGATTGACGAGTCACAGACACTTGTCTAATCAGAACCATA